CACACACACACACACACACTCCATCCGCAAATCGAATCGTCACAAACCATCCATAAAACAAAAAAAAGTGTAGATAGGCAATGCAGTAGAAGATGCAAGATTGGGCACGTTTGTGTGGTTAGGCGCCGAGTGCCCACACACCCATCTGCTGCCAAAGTGGCACACTTGGCACAGATATATAGTGTATTTTTTTATTTATAAAAGGATGGAGGGCAATGGCAACATACTTGACAAACAACAAGTACAAGAACTCAAAACAAATTAGTTGCACCACAACACAAAGGGCTCCACTAGCAAGAAAGCACTGACCACGCCCGCAATTGGTCTGAACAAACTTAGAGAGCCCTCAGAGTCGGGCCGCAAAGCCACCATTTGTCACACAAATACAACAACACCGGCACTGCTATTCATGGCTATTGCTGCTCTGTCACCTGGTGCAATTCATGGTCTGTGTGTAAGCTTGCTGAGTGGGTGTCTTGTCCATGCGATTGTAAGCACTGTCATCCGCTTGTTTGTTTTGCCTGCTTTTGTGTGTGTGTGTGTGTGTGTGTGTGTGTGTGTGTGTCCACCGAGATGAGTAGATCCACAATTGAGGCGGGTTTACTTCTATTGCAGACAAAAAAAAGCACACGAAAGATGAGCCAATCCAACAATGAAACAGTTTTACCTCTACAGCAAGCAACATGAAAGCACAATCGATGTATCGTATCCCTTTCTTGACTGGGCGTATGTGTGTTCGTGCACGTGGTGCGACATGAATGGTGTGTTGTTTGCTGCTCTGTGCTTGCATGCATTTCGATCTGACAGCTTGTGAGAGAGACAGCTATTCAGTGTTTGGCGGTGATCGCAAGTTATCCTCATGCGTCCATCTATCCTCATCGAAACCAGGTAGGTGATTGATTAAAAATTTGAAACCTTCAAACTTTGGTTGGGATGTTCATGTTGTCAAAATGTGAACTTAATGGGCGTGCCAGAATGATTGAGTGTGGGAACAACTTTGTTTCCGGTCTCTAACATCACTCATTTGCACATATGGATGAGCCCATAATGTCATTCGTGCTGAACTTTCTGCAGAATCGGTGCAAATGCAAGGAACCAACTGCAAACAACCACCAATCAAACTTGCAGCACACCGAAAGCTCACAAAAGAGTCACAGCAAGCATCCAACAACAATTCAGCACACCAGAAGATAAAAACTCCTCCGGACATATAATTATTGTACAAGAAAGAAATTGAGATAAATTACAAGCTGTTAATGGCCGCTATTACCAACAAATCCGAACAGGCAATCTCACTTTTCTCTCTCTCTCTCTCTCTCTCTCTCTCTCTCTCTCTCTCTCTCTCTCTCTCTCTCTCTCTCTCTCTCTC